CAACATAGTGACCTGCAATTTCACAAGACTAACCATCCTTGAACAAGTATAGTGACTTAAAACTGGAAAATCAGGTTACGACTAGAACTTTAAAGTCTGATGAGGCCGTATCCAGAAACACAACAATGAGCACTTCCCTCTGAAATTCAGCAGGGAAGGAGACAGCCTTGGCCACTTCTGTTTCCATTGTTTGGGTTTTCTTCCCAGGCAACAGTGAAGTGCCAAGAAGCTCGCATATGGATTCCATCCCAAAATAAAACCCGTCTGCTCTGCGGCACTATTAAAGCTAGGGATCATGGGACATTTTCAATGTAATTTCTTTATTATTAATTTGGCAAGTCTTCTGCTTTATCATAAGCTCACCCATTCTGCCGCCTTAACACTCCCTCTCCCCCTCTCTCCAGTGTCCGAAGCACTAAAGCAAAATAAATACAGAGCCACATGCTGCCCTCCGCGACACACATGGCACCGCACGAGTCCAGGGAGGCTGCACGGGGACAGGAGGACAGACCGTAGCCAGCAGTGCCTACAGAGCCACCTCATTTACAGTTACGTGAAGATACCGCACGCCGCCTACCCAAACGTGCACGATGAAAAGCGCATTTTCAGACTGGTAAAGATTTTTTTCTCATCTGACAGCTCAACGAACTGAATGTTTTAAAGGGACTTTATATACAGCTGCCCAAATAGATAAACAGTTTCAAGCCTCATAGCCTAGTTTATATAACATTTCCACCTGTTTGCAGCCACTGATGATCCAGTATCAATAAACAAGATTAGTAATCAAATAGCCCGGAGATTACGCATTCGAACAAACTAAAACACATCTTTAACCCTAGAAACCAAAACAACCAATTGGCAATCCTTCTGCTTTGTCATTCTTAAAGTATATACCTTTGTTTTATGCAGGATCTCAGAGTATATTACAGTGTAACCCACTTAACTCATATTACCACCATAAGATGCTTTGAAATCAAACTGAAGCACAAAACTATGAAATAACTTACTCGGTACCCTATGACCGGCCAGCAAGAGAATCAGGATTAGGAATCCCGATGCCACATCCCTTGCGTTAGCCAGTAAACAACACAGCAAGAAAACAAAACTACAACAACAACAGAAACCCCATGTTCAGGATGAAAAGTCTCAAATTACTCTGATGCAAAATGATAAAAGCATCCCAAAGTCTGTATGTTTAACCAAAAGGCCATCTCAGCCTTACTGCCCCCTTAAGCCAAAAACCACAGAATAAAAGTAAATTGAAATACCTGTTTCCTGGATCTTGGTAACTGTCAGTAACAAGAGTGGATGGAAGACCAACTTTTTCCATTATTTGCTTTAACTAGATGTGGTTGCTATTTAAACCCTAAAGAGCTATGTGAGATAATCCAGAGGGTGCCTAGAAGTGCTCACTCCAAGTTAAAAAATAGACACTAGGGCAATTTGGTGGCTCAGAGTCAACCTAGTTCTTGCCTAATTACAATCACATTAAATGACAGTACTCCTCCAGAACAAATGAGCTGGTGATTATCCTCTACCCGGAAAAGTCAACAAGCAGCGCATGAGGGAGGTGGCCTCACAACCACACACACACGAAGGAAAAGCTACCGAACAGCTACGCATCCATTTTATTTCCGAATTAAAATGTATGTTGCCAATAGCACAGCAATGCAGTATCCTCTTACCAGTGACCTCTGCTAGAGAATGAATAACATCTAGCTTGTATATTAATTCATCTTTAGACCTCACCTCCAACAGGCGCCAACAATGTTGTATAACGAGGTTTGCGGCTGACTGTAACACTTGCTATCCAAAAGTCTTAGCTAAAGTCACCAGAAACATCCCGAAAATAAACTCCCATCACTTCTCCTCTCCTACAGACTTTTTGGGTTCTTGATGTTGCCCTTGAACTCCACAGCATAGCGTACACATTCGTATTCACAAGCTTTGCTTACTTCGTCAATGACCTCAATACTCTGTAATTTCTTAAGCAGCTACGCAAACTGATCCAAACACCGAGCAAAACTTTCGGGAGGAAAACAGCTACGAGAGGAAAACAGCTATAAATATTTGATTTTTAACATTCTTGCCTCTGGCATTCAGAGATGATTATGATCTAGTCATCATACTCTCAGTCACTATGCATTACACCAGTTTAACCAGTCTCAACTGGGATTTCTGCCAACAACATTATACGCTGAACATTCATCTATCAAGCATGATACAAGTGCAACACCTGAAAAAAACCCCCCACATTCCTAGTATGAACGATCACAGTAATGTATGAGTGGCATCTTCAGAGCTAATTTTTTAATACATATTTTTTAACTTTTCATGCCCACAAGAGCATTATTTTTCTTCTTTAAAGTAAATTATTTTGCTTGGATTGGAAACTTTTCCCCTTATTTTACGCTGCTTCAACACGGACAGTTGAGGCATATCAAATCTGGCGTAGTTCATGAGAGCCATTAAGTTAAAGCAATTGGTCCAGGTATCTCCACTGACACTTACGTAAGCATGAAGTAAACAAACAGTGAAACAAGTTTTTTAAATTTCACACTTCAGAAAACCAAGCATTACTAGCAGCATTTAGAAAAACCCAATCAATTACTTTGAGCCCAACTGGGTTTCCAACATCAGTATCAAAAACTAGACCTAGTTAGGCTCATCTGTAAAGGTGGCCCAGTCGCCAAGCTCCTCCACCCTTCCAGACTGGGCCCACAGAAATCACTGGGACCAGCTTCAAGGTAAAAAAAAAAAAAGTTTAAAATTCAATATTATTTTTTATTGTCAAGAGTCAGAGCATACTTGGACATCACTAAAACAAATTTACATCCTAGAACTGATGGCTGTGACCAGCACACATTCTACATCTGAACAATTATTACAATACTAAAAATAATATAAAACAACATGGGGAAATAACTTCAGTCCTACTCTATCATATTAACTCTGCATCTATCTTTTAAGTAACATCACATCTGTTAACACTAAGATCACAAAAAATACCAGAAATAGAAATCTGACAACACTGCCCCTGGAATGAGGTTGTTTCAGATTCTTACAATACTGGATTATCAAAATAACTCCAGTGAAACTGGTACACCAAAGCCATTAATAGCACAGATTTATACTACAGTCTTGGCATCAGGTTCTCTCATTCTCTCCCGCTCTTTCATTCCCTCCCTCTCTCTTTCTTTTCAAAAGAGGACAGCAATTTCAAAATAAAAATATGCCTGCCCTTAAAGTATTTCCAATGTTGTGCTTTCCATGAAAATGTGAAGTGCTAGCAACATTTCTGCTCAGTATGTTTCAAGTAAGACATTTCTAGATTCTAAAAAGGAGTATGTAAACTGTACCCCAGACTAACTTTGGACTACCAGACCCCAGCTCCTAGTGGGAAACCCTCCTTTATAGGAGTGCACTCTCATCCTCCATAAGGAAATTCTTTCTGCAAGTAAAGATTTCTTACATGAGTCAGGGTAAACATGATGAGGACTTGAACGTGTGAGCTCTTAAGGACAAGTTCCTTTGGATCTTGCACAACACTTGGCAGACTGTCAGCACCTCACCATGACAAATATTGAAGAAATATTTAGGGGGGGAAAAAAAAAAAAAATAGGCCTTACTCTGACTTCATTTCCATAAGTGTAAATCAGGAGTAACACAACTGAAGTCACAGGCAAAATTATAACATAAAGGTAAATCTGTCAATGACTTCAACAAGGTGAAGATGTTTTTGCCAGGGAATGGTATAAAATCCCTCTCTTTTATGTGCTATATATAGTTACATGCATTAGATGTTTCCATATCTGACAAACCAGCTGACACAGAGAGACTCAAACAATGCCACCACTTAAGACATGTGCCCAAACATATTCACTGGAAATGGGAAAGCATCAGAAACTCATCACAGGATCCATTACTTAGCCTCAGACATTGCTACTTGCACAACCTGGCCTATCATATGATGCTACGGCTTTTTTCTTTAATTAGATTCCATTTGGAGATTCAAAAGCTATCTAACACTTTCAAAACACTTCCTCAGAAATACCACCCTATATGAATCACAAATGAAACATGGCATTTAAGCATGAGGTTGGGAAGCTTGACTTCTTTTTCTGTTTCTAGATCAGACATACATCTCCCCAACTCCTGAATATACTCTGATCATCATACTGCATGACTTCTTAAATTAAACAAGCTAAACGTTGAAGATACACCTCCCACAAACAGAATACTGACAATTACTCGATGCTGTTGTTTTTAACTCCACAACGGTCCAGACATCTGATAAGGATACAGACTTTCAGAGCATCCATCTTTTATGCTCTACGCCTGGATCCTTGGGAGCTAAATTCTTGGCTCATCCAAACCTCCAACATGAGCTTTGATTCCCAAACTATAAAATGAGAGTGAGACCATGTCTTTTATTCCGTACTCTATCTTGTTTATTTAGACTGTAATTGTTTCACAGCAAAGATGGTTTTAGGCACACCTACCACAGGAAACGAGGCTGAGATCTTGCCTAGTGCTTCTACATGGCTCCTGTGGTACAGACAATTAATTACACTAGATATAATTCTGAGGCACTTGATTTCTGATCCCATTTGATTTCCTCCTTATTTGTATTTGTGCATGCCAGTGCTAAAGCTACGCTCTCCCTGTGTGCACTGTGACCATTACTATAACCCTTCCACCACTATTTCTTACCTTGAAAGCTTCTATCCCAAAACCTAACTTTGATTAATCTTTTGACTGCGTTAAGGAAGCATACTCTCACTTGCTCTAGTTGAGTACACATAACTCTACCGTTTGTAAATTCCTGCAGGCAAATATGTGCTATCTTCTGAGTTCTCTTCTACTAAAACTTCTGCAAGGAAGGTGTGAATGACCTTTCTGTTTTACCAACAAGCGAAAAACAAGAAGTGTGGGGTTTATGCTTCGTTTATTTCCCTCTGTCTCAGCACTTTGGTTTTGGGGTTACATGAATGACTTACCGGTGATAGGCTTCCCGACGGTACTTTTTCAGAGCATGCCCATCCATGTTTGCAGGGAGATCGGCTGCATTCTGGAGTCGGTCGCTCCACGAGGTTGTCATCTTCAAATGCTTATTTATTTCTGAAAGAGGCAGAAGAGAAAAGCTTGCTTAAGTTGAAGGTTTGTTTCACCAGAACATTGCTTCCTGGTACGAAGAGGTGCAATGCCACTCAGGAAGTCTTGCAAAGTGCCCCGTGGAATGATACAAGTTAGTAGGTCAAGTAAGATGCTTTCCTCTGAGGTGCTTAACGAGACAGGGTGTTAAAACAGAGGGCTGGGGAGGCTTTTACACATGGCTGGAACTGCAAAGACACTCCTATCCATCGTGGTGAAAATGCATTTAGAAACAGACAGCTTGTTTTTAATGCTGAAAAGGGGTATCCTTTTGACCCTAGAGTTACTAATATGCATTAGTGATGTAAAGCCTACCCTCTATACACGAGATAAATTAGACAGGGCAAACCCTACAAACCCCAGCAGGACTAACCTTGCCACTTTCACCACACAGTGAAAAGAAAGAGCCTTGTCCTTGGCCATTTGATCTCTACGCAAAGCTTCCAACTGATGCTAAATTAGCAGAAACAATTGGAAGGAGAGTAGAAAGATGATCTTTTGTCCCCTGCAGGTCAGCCACATTCAGACAGAGCAAGAGCATGCTGCCAACGTGTAACACTAGTAATGTGAATATTCACCAGCAGACCTTCACCAGCATCTGCACCCCTTCGCAAGGACTGGCTCTGAAAACCAGACCACTGGTCAGTCCTTCTCACCAGGACGGCCAGGCCCTGCACTGAGGGAACAGGGGTACCTTTCCCAATTGTGTTCCTAGCACGCTGGGACAATCCTGCTCACCCCCTCCTCCAGCCAGACGCATGTCCTGCTGCATCCCTGGCGCCAGGCGATGAAGCAGCCCCACGGTCAGTTCATCTGAGCCCAAGTCTCACCCATCAAAACTAACTGGCCAAAAGCAAACACAAACTGGGTAGTTTGCCACTGCTCAGCAGGCTGGACCCAGCTCAACCTGGCCCAACGCTGTCATTAGAGCCGGTGCAAAGACTGGGGTGGGAAACGCATTCCACAGTTATACCAAATTAGGTATAACATGAAACCGCATGCTTGTGTAACCCACACAACTGCTGGACCGCAGGGCTTGGCTTGTTTGCTCTTCCTTAGAAGAAACAAAACTACCCACAAGCTACACTGGTAATGATACAGCAACCATTTCTAGACACCTTTAAAAAATGACTGCTCTTGTTTTACAGAAGGGAAACTAGACGATTTCAGCAAAGTAGAGAGTAGAGCGGTGACCAAACCAGTGTTAGAAGTCAAGGCTCTTTCGGCAGTCACATGCGTGGTCACTCTTCTAGAGGAAATCTGTGTAATTTTTTAGCTTTCAGTTTGATTGAAGAGCAGCAGTTGCAATTGTTAGTCTATTTACCCACTAGCTGCTGGTCATAAAAATCAAACAGATGGCAAACAGCTTGTCTGTAAAAAATATGTTCCTCCCTCCCCCAGCATTCTCTGCTTGTCTCCCAGTTACTATAACCAAGGTTTACAAATGCATCTTCTGCCACATCCTAAAGGTCACCAAATTTAGGCCCTGGCAGGCAGCCCAAGGGACCAGATGCCAGAGCTGAGAGCTCTCCTCCTCCCGAATTCCCCACAACACACCCAGGCGAGGAGGTCAGCACAGCGAGAGGGTGACAGGCCATTCCAGCCAGCCACAACTTCCACAACAGGGCATGCAGGGAGAAGCAGCTTCTAAAATAGCCCCGGCCCCAGCCACCAAGGGCTTATAAGTAATTACCAGCTATTCAAGCCGTGCTCAAAGGCAGATGGAAGGCAGCACAGGGCACAGAACTCAACAGCCTGGGAGCATCAACCTGTTCCACTCGAAAGGGAGAGCAGTGCCTGCAGCCACGCTCCTTACAGGCAGCAAGAGCGGCAGCAGGGCTGATGGAGAGGGGGCTCGGGAGGGGAGCAGTGCCCGTGCAAGAGTGACAGGCTCCAGGGAAGCAGCAGGGACATGCAGCACACGGAGGGATCTGGTATGACCCCAAGCCTGCAAACTGTAGAAAGGACTTGTGTCCCCAGAGGGTGGAAAGTCGCCTACTCCATGGATATTTCAAGATGGTCCAGGTCATCACCACCTTGAGCTTACCTGGAGCTAATTTAAAGCTACTAACCTAGGGCTACAGATTGAGATCCAAAAGACATACATTTAAGGCTGCTAAAAGGCAAGTTCAATAGCCCAGTAAAAACTGTTGCATGGCTGGCCTTAGGACTCTCAGACAGCTCTAGGTCTAGGTCCTCCAGCTGAAACAAGTCCAAATCCAAGCTTCCTGCCATTTAGAAGGACTACACTATTCTGCTTACCCAGCCAGACACATAGCAAGATTCAAAGATTTACACCCACAGCCAAAGCCAGAGACTTTCTGTTCTGCCAGCCTCTTCTTCCCACTTCATCTGCTTCCCATCACCATCACACCACACCAGAGATGCTGACACAGGTACTAGGATAGGACAGCTCCTAACAGCCATCCATGCCAGATATCTGATAGTTCACCAACAGCATCGTACCAAATATCCTAAAATCCAGATGGCAAAACAACTTTAGCAGGTTATCTTTAATAACATCTTTCCTAAAACGAGGAAACAGTGAAGCAGTTTGAGCTCCTGTGTGATAAACTTTCCTTTACCGTAGGAGAAACCAGACTGCATGATTCTGTGTGTGTGCTAGGATTCAAGAAGCTGAGGAAACCCACAAAAAACTGAGGTAAACACAAAGATCTGAGTTTCGATAATTAAGCATGAAATTTTAATTATTGCAATGTTCCAGCAGTATTTTGCTGTAGCTGTGATGAACAGAGTTCATAGGCAGGCCAAGGTTTACAGAGGCAATATCTTTTATTAGACCAACTGGTATGGCTGGAAAAAATAGACAAGCTCTTGGGCACTCGAGCTTGTCTAAGTTTTCAAACTCTATCAGTTGCTCTAATAAAAGATATTACCTCTACCTTCAGGCTTTGCCCTGATTTATTTATGAAAATCTTTCTTTTGATGTCCACACAGCATAAAACCCAAAAATCTGATGCTGCAGTTTTGTATTACATGAACTCAAAGGCACTCTTGGAGCTTAGCAGGCTCCACTGGCACTCTGACAATAGCTTGCTGCTCTGAAATAAAACAGTAACCACTGACAAAAGATATTGTGATGGATGTTCCCCACCCAAAAGTATTACTCACCAAAAAAAGTCTCATGGACTTCAATGAAATTGTTCTGATGCTTCAAAGGTGTAAAAATCAGCCTACCTGCATGGGTAAGAGATATGGAACCTGATCCCTGACCACAAATCCATTCTCCCAAAGAGAGGGAGAAAAATAAGAAGGGCTGAATCACTCCAAACACTTGTAAGCCCCTGGAATAAACATCTAAGAGGGCGGGCAGCTAGCCAGGCAAGATTCTAAACTCCGAGCAACTGAAATACGATGCATCTTTCTTTAGTTACAAATCTATTTTTGAAATCAATAACCTGTAAATAGCTTCACGTAAAAATAGAAAACTTTACATAGATAAAGCATGTCAGAACACCTCCCCATAACTCATTGTAAATATGCTCCTTGCCAGTGCAGCTTTAATTAAGCATCTGATAGCATTTATGGCCCAGGGTTCATTTTGAAAAAGCATTTAAAATCTCAGTTTCAAAGCTTTGATACAGAGCTAGGATCCAGCACATATGCTTTGATCCAAAAGAACATGAGATTTTTAGTACATATTTTGAAATAGGTCCATTTGCTTCTTTTGTCAGGTTTTGGCTGGTTTCAAGTATTATCCATAGTGGGGTTTTTCAAGTACTCATAACACGTGAAGAAGCATTCCCCTTCGAGTTTTACTATTCTTTTCATATCTTTTTTGGGCAACAAATAGTTAGAAATTCCTGCACCTGCTGTGTTCAGGTTAAATGCACGGCTTGCATTTTTTGTCCTGAGTTTAACACTTTGATGATGCAATGCCACATCAGAGGCACACACCAAAATGTAGAGATGAACAAAAGAGCAATGACAACCCTACTTTTTCCAGGATATTCTTAGAGACCTTACATAGCAGAAAAAAAAGCATCACTAACCATCCCAAGGTTGTAGTGTACTCCCACTGATTTGCCATGCACTACATCTGCCTCTTCTAACACGTTCTGCTTCAAGAATCCTTAATACCTTGTGACTATGACCCACACGTGTACGTGCACCGTGGAAAGTAGAGAAAAATCATCACACCTAACGTTAGCTACTTAAAAGCTCTGGCTGTAGTCAGAGGTTATGGACGTACAGACAAGTCTCGTGGTGCCCTCGCCAACCTTGAGCAGTTCCTGGCTCCCCACTGCAATGCTGCTCCGTTTCGGGTGGCTTTGGGGGGTCTCAGCAAGGGAGGAATGAACCATGCCACAATCCTGAAGAACGTAAGAAGGAAAGGGAGCAGGACTGGGGTTGGTTTGTTCAAAACCCGGATCAAATTTGTGGTCCGGGTCATGGCATGCCTCACAACCAGGGAGGGGAAAAGCAGCCTTTTTCTGCAGCCGAGATGCCTGTCCATCTCAGGGTGCTTAAGAAAAGTGACTCACTTTCCAAGAGCATATCTCTCTCTCCACCAAGGGCAGGAGTAGTTTGCACCTAGTCTAGGCTAGACACTTGGGACAGCTAGCATCAGAGGAGGTGAAACCCACACAGGTTAGCATCGTACCCTCTGATCCCCTGACATCCTGGGATGGATGTGGCTAGGACTGTGCCATCTCCTCGACAGCATCTCCTACTGCCACTGCGATCAGGGACTGGGCAGGCTCTGGCCACCCCGAGCATGGTAGTTCCTATGCCAGTGATCCCGAAGCACTTCACAAACTCTCGTTCACATTTAGGGGCAGCAAAAGGTGCTGTCCTCGTTTCGTCATCTAAGAATAGAGGGGCACAGAGAAGATAAGAACACAAAGCAAGCGGGAATCAAATGCAGAAGTCCTAATTCCTCAGTCAGTGTTAATAACCAGTCGGAGTTCCTATCCCTGTCAGGATGAATCACAGATACA